GACCTTGAGATAATGGATAATCCAAGGCATATTAGCATGACATACTTCTCTTATTTGAACCAGGGGTGGGGAAATGCGTCAAGCGTTGTAGCTACAAAATCTATTGGAAAATCCCCAATTATACCAATGGAATTATGTTTGCCGAATAAACAAGGTAAAAATGGAATAACAAGATCATTGATGCAAACAATATCCAAATACCAAATCCACCCAAGAGAATTTCTTTGAATCTTCAACTTTGATCAAATCGAAATAAAAGAAATTTGGGTCGCCCTATTCGAGCGCAACTTGGTAGCACGTTTGTTTTGGGTACAAAATGTCATGAGATCCAACTTTTTACTCACTCATGAGATACGAACAGTTGGGAGGGACCACCACGACTTCTCGGCAAAATAAATTAAAGGAAAAAGAATCCTTTTGTTGGCACTCTTAGTTCATTTGAAGTGAAAGTAAATGTATGTAACAATTCATGATGTTTGCTATCAACTCATTATGAAGTTTATCTTTGAATGAAAGTGTTAATGAGGGAAAGTAGAGATTGGAGTAGATCAGTTGCTAGTGAAGTATAATTGTAAATTTTAGTTTTTATATGAAGGGCTATTGAATGAAATAATCTTCTACAGTGAGTGCAGTGTCCTTCCTCCCAAAGCTTTGTTTGTTTATAAACATCCTATTGGAATGAAGGTAGAAGAACTCCCAATATATCTGGGTTGTGTTTGTAATAGAACAAAACTTAGTGGAAAACGTGCGTTTTACTATGTATTCAATGTATAAAAACATTGCTACCTTGTAACAGATTTCAGTTAGAAAAATTAGAAGAAGAAATTCACAATTCTTTCTCGTCTGCTCTATAATCTTTTCTTTGTTTCTTGTTCTTTATTTTTCTTTGGTTAAACAAGAAGCTTCATGGTATCAGAGCCTTGACAAATGTCAATGGCTACTTTGATTCCTAAAACTTCAAATGTCAACTTGAAGATAGAGATTGAGCAAACTGGGAATGCAAACGCATCAAGCTCAGGAGCTCACTCTTCCCTTCCAACACTATTTGTTAAACTCGTAGAAAAGAGCTATGGATACTAGAGGTCCTAAGTTCTTCCTGCTCTTGCTTCACATGATCTTGTGGCTTCGTTAATGGTGAGAATATCTGTCCCCCTATGTTTCTAATTGAGAAACAGGTAGAGACTGAAGAGTTAGTAAAGAAACCAAACCCTAGGTATTTCAATTGGAAGATATCAGACCAATTTTTAGTGAGTTGGTTGTTTTCATCAATCTCGGAGTCTATGTTTTGGCATGTGGCCAAATGCACTAGCTTTTATGAAATATAGAATACACTGGATCTTCATTTTCAGTCTTTTTCGAAGGGTAGGACATTACATTTAAGAAATCTTTTATAGACCACAAAGAAGGAATCTTTGAGTGTTAATGAATATGTCTTGAAAATGAAAGAGCTGGGAGATGAATTAGTTGATAGTGGAGTCAATCTTAGTGATGAAGAATTGCTAGTCTAAGACCACATTATGACGTGGTGGTAGCTAGTTTGACATACAATAGTAAAGATGCAACACTTCAAGAAGCTCAACTTATGCTTCACAAGCATGAATTGAGACTGGCAAGACAATCTAGTGCATTGACTAATTTTCATGAGCAATTCACTTTTGCACTAATTGCTTCTAAACAAGAGTCTGTCAGTTCTTCTCTATATGTGCAATCTAACACGTCAAGGATTGTCTTTCCAAATACCACACACGTAGCAAACATAGGATCCTTAAACTACCAAACTCATGAAGTTTACTCTCAGCCATAAGGTAGTAGTGTTGGTTCTGCAACTCAAATGTTTCCTCAATCGACAGAAGGAATCTTGAATTTGGGAAATGGTGGACAGTTAGGAAGCAATCTTAGAGATCCTTATCCTGTTGGTCTTCCTCAAGCCTATCCTATTGGTCCTCTTCAGGTCTTCTATAACAATATGGTGAGAAGCAGAGGTAGAGGACGCGGTTACTTTAAACCAAAGCTGATATGTCAAGTCTGCAGGAAAACAGGCCATTCTGCCCTCTAGTGCTATCATCGTTTCGATCAGGAATATCAGGGGTTTAACTCATATACCTATAACCAGTCAGTACATCCAATTGGCTATAATCCCTCAGTCAACCCACAAACCAACCTATCTGGAAACTCCAATGAACCTGCTGCTCTTTTTGCTTACAACCATTCACTTAACACCTATTTTAACAACTCATACACTGGTCTTTATAATGCTTCAGTTACTACTCTTACTAATTTGACTCATAATTCTCCTTATGCTCCTAATGACATTTCTCAATACTCCTATGGAACTTCACCTATACATACAAATAAAAGACCATTTCCTAATACCTCATCACCAACTATTCCAGCTACACCATCCTCATTAGCCGCCGTAAACTCTTTTCAATCAACCATTGCGACTCCACAAACTGTCCATGATAATTCCTGGTACATGGATTCTGGTGCATCACACCATATGACTGCAAATGCCTCCAACCTCACTCATGCAGCCAGTTATCCAAGGAACCCTAAGGTTCAAGTGGGCAATGGAAAGTCTATACCTATTACTCATACAGTTATGCTACATATTCCCTCTTATGATTCACATAGAATTATTCAGCTTAGAAGAATACTATGTGTTCCAAAAATTGCTAAGAATCTTTTGAGTATTTCTCAAATAACTAAGGGTAATAATGTCATTGTGGAGTTTTACTCTGATCATTGCCTGGTAAAGGATAAAAACAACCAAGTTGTGTTGCTACAAGGAGCAATAAAAGATGGTATTTATCGGTTAGACCTTCCTCGTAATATCTCTTTGCAATATAAACTCTTAACTACTGTTGCTGCCAACTCTGCAACTGGTGTTGGTCATCTCGCTAAGCATTCTAGTGCTAAGCAAGTTGTACCTGAAAGCTGTGTATTTTATTCAGAAAGACTTCAAGCTTTCACCACTGCTATTTCTAGTACCTCTAAATCCAGTATTAGTTCTAAATGTAACAGCTATAATGTATCTTTGAATACTTCCATGTTATGACATGCAAGATTGGGACATCCAAATGTTAAGATTCTTCATGCTATATTGAATAAATTGAATGTAAAGAACTCACTTTCTAGCAATAAAAAGTTTTTCCGTGAGGCTTGTCAATATGGTAAATTATAGTAGTGTGCTTTTCCCTTTTCTTCCTCCAGAGCAGCAACTCCATTAGATTTAGTCCACTCTGATCTTTGGGGACCTGCTCCACTTCTTTCACATTAGGGTTATAAGTACTACATTATTTTACTGATGACTTTAGTAGGTACACTTAGATTTATCCTTTGAGACAAAAATCAAAAGCATACACTGTGTTTGTGCAATTTCATAGCTTCATAGAGAGACATCTAGGTATAAAAATGAAGTGCTTGCAAATCGATTGGGGTGGAGAATTCAGGTCCTTTACTAGATACTTACAACAACATGGTATTATGTTTCGACATTCATGTCTATACCTTCACCAACAAAATGGTCAAGTGGAACGAAAACATAGGGCTATTACCGAATATGGGTTATCTCTTTTGGCTCATGCTGGTATGCCATTGAAGTATTGGTGGGCTGCTTTTAGCACAGCCACATATCTCTTAAACAGATTATCATCCATTGCACTAGAGTTTGTAACACCTTGTTATGTTTTGCTTCATCAAGAACCCAATTATAAAGAACTTAAGGTATTTGGATGCAACTGCTATCCATATCTTCGGCTTTTTCAGAAAAATAAGTTTTCTTTTCATATAGAAAAATGTGCCTTCATTGGCTATAGTTTAGCGCACAAGGGATATTAGTGTTTATCATCATTTGGTAGGGTGTATATTGCCAAGCAAGTGAAGTTTAATGAAGCAGATTTCCCATTTAAGTCTGGTTTTCATATAGGGAGTAGTGCAAATTCTATTCAACCTACTGAGATCTCATATTGTGATAGTGCTAATCTCTAGTGTCTTCCACAATTTGCGCATGACCTTAGTCTTATGAATATTGTTCCTAATTCTTCTTCTCATGCAGGTTTTCAGATAGATCCTATGGTTCCAAAGTCTAATATTATTTCCTCTTCCTTTAAGGCATATTTTCGGCATAGTCTAGAATAAGCTCAACCTGGTGCATCTCCTTAGGTTAATACTTCAATTTCTACTCCCACACAGCAAACAGACCAGCTAAATGTCGATATGTCTACAACTCCTTAGCTTGAAAGTTCAGTTGGAGCTGCTCAATTTGAAGAATCTGTTCTTAGTTTGATAAGGCAGCAAGCACAAAACAATGTTAATATACCTGAAGCTTCCTAGTTTGACATATCAGCTGTGAAAATTCAGTTCCCATTTTGATGAGTGATAAAGACTACAGTAATGCTTCAAGTCATATTTTGCCACATCAGGAAAAACAAAATCACGTTGTTGCTCTTCTGGCAGTAACTCATCCATAAGGTACTACTGGTATTCAGTTGGAAGTAGTACCTCCTTACTGTCCCTCTACCTCAGCTATAAATAGTCATCCAATGCTTACTAGATCTAAGATTGGTTATAAACCTCATCGTTCATATTAGGATTTCTTGTCCACTTGTCTCATATTAAAGGAGCCAAAATCAGTCTCTGAAGCTTTACATACCCCTGAATGGAAACAAGCCATGACTGCTGAATATGAGGCACTTTTGAGAAATAAAACTTGGGAGCTTGTGCCTTATGAAAAAGGAATGCATGTTGTTGGATGCAAGTGGGTGTTGAAGACAAAATTAAATTCAGATGAGACTCTTCAGAAGTACAAGGCCATACTTGTGGCTAAAGGGTTTCAGCAAACCCCTGACCTTGATTACTTCGATACGTTTTCATCGGTTATTAAAGCAGCTACAATCAGAGTCATGTTATCTGTTGCAGTGCATCAGAATTGGAAAATACAGTAGCTCGACATTAATAATGCTTTCCTAAATGGGGAATTAGTAGAAATAGTGTTTATGATGCCTCCTGAAGGTTTCTCCTCTACATGTTCTCAAGGTAAACAAGTCTGTCAATTACACAAAGCTTTGTATGGCCTTAAACAGGCTCCACGAGCTTGATTTAACAAACTTAAGGCTGCATTGCTAGATTGGGGGTTTGTTAATTCTGCTTCAGATGTGAGTCTTTTCTTTTATAAGAAGGATTCTCAAGTTGTCTATCTACTAGTCTATGTAGATGACATTTTGGTGATAGGAAATAACAGTCAGCTTATTGATCAAGTAGTGACTGATCTTAATAATCAGTTTGCTTTGAAAATTTTGGGAGAGGTGCAGTATTTTCTCGACTTTGAAATTCAAAGAAATGCTATAGGTTTACTTCTCGCTCAAACTAAGTATGCACAAGACCTGCTGCAAAAGGCTGGAATGAAAGATTCAAAACCATGTCCTACCCGTATGGCTACTGGAGTGAAATTAAGAAAAGAAAACAGTGAGATGTTTGATCAACCTACTTTGTATAGAAGCATTATTGGGGATCTACAATATCTGATCCTATCTAGGCTTGACTTAGCCTTTTCAGTAAATAAATTAAGCCAATTTTTACAAAGTCCTACAGTAGCTCACTGGACAGCAAGCAAAAGAATTTTACAAAATGTTAAGGGAACTTTACAGCATGGTGTTATATTCACAAGAAGTCAGAAATTCATTCTCGAAACCTATGTTGATGCGAATTGGGCTAGTGATATTAATGATAGAAAGTCCACCAGTGGATATACTATGTTCGTTGGAGGTAATCTGATTCAATGGTGTCCACGGAAGCAAAAGGTAGTCTCCTTATCATCTATAGAGGCAAAGTACCGATCTTTAAGTTAAGCAACTACTGAAATTGTGTGGGTTCAACATTTATTTGAAGAACTTGGAATTACAATTAATAATATGCTTGTGATCTGGTGTGACAACATGAGTGCTAAGGCCTTGTCCTCAAATTTAGTTTTTCACACTAGGACCAAACATATAAAGATTGATGTGCACTATGTGAGAGAACTTGTTTCAAGAAAAGCTCTGAATGTGCAGTATGTATCCTTTGAATATCAGGCTGCAGATATCCTCATTAAGGCTTTGCCTAGTAACAGGTTTGGTCTGCTACAAGATAAGCTTAATGTGACTTCTGTGTTGACTGATTAGATCAAGTTCTATTTTTGGTTTGTAGGCTGTCAAATTAAGTTTGGTACTGAGAAGAGTTGTTGATATGTTCTACTCCTGTGATCTGCATTGAATGTGTATTTTCTATATCTGCATTGTTAAAAGATGATTTGATTGGGATTTGCAATAGTAAAGTTCATGTTGAGATGTGAGTAATCTGGAAGCTAATGTATGTTGAAGTCATAGTATATTTTGTGCTGCTGTTGAGGTTGTAAAAGCTAACCTGTGGTGGTATGATTTTAAAGTGTTTGAGGTGTTATCAGCATGAGTACTAGGAATAGTTGTATATCAAATGATTAGCAGCAAATGATTAAGTGATTAGCAGCAAATGCTTAAGTAGAAGTGTTGCGTTTGAGGGGAAATATTGGAATAAAGGAAGAGATAAAAGAATTCCCGGTATGCGGAGTGGTTTAGCTTAAGGGGAAATATTGGAATGAAGGTAGAAGAACTCCCAATATATCTGGGTTGTGTTTGTAATAAAACAAATATCTAGGTTATGTTGTAACAAGGTTTTAAAACCCGGATCGGCCCGATCGGTTTAACCGATTTGATCGAGAATCGGTGGCTTAGCCGGGCCAGTCAGGGTAGAAAACCGGGAATGAGAATTAACTCGTTTTGACCTGCGGTTGGACCGGTGTTACTGTAGCGACCCACCAGTACAACCGGTTTTGTCAACTCAAATTCCTAAGTTCTGAGATTCAAATCCCTTTTACAATTTTCAATTAAAAATATGAGGCTAATCAACCCAAAGAAAATAATACTAATCAATGAAGCCACTAGAAGAAGAGAGAATCCAACTCAAAGAAGAGGAGAAAAAACAAGTGAGAGGAGTTGAAACCCTAGGCCGTTGCTACTGCGGTGGCGATGGTGGTGGAGAATGGTGGAGGTGCATAAAACAGTGGCAACACACAGCTAATAAGAGAGAAGGAAATGAGGATTTTGTCAAAAAGGAAGAGTGAATGTGTTTGTGTGTTTTGGTGTAGAAGGCATGCACCTTTTGATTAGAGGAAAGCTGAAGAATCGGAAGAGCTTTAATAATTAGAACAGAACAAATGAAAGAGTAAAGAAAAACAAAGAGACTTGGAGAAAGAAGTTGCTTAAGCTTTCTCTCTCTACTCTTTTTCGCTCCTGCAACCTTAAGATAGAAGAGATTGAAAATAAATAATTTAATTTAATAAATAAAGAAGGTGTACTTATAGTGCATTTAATGAGTTGTCATTGAAAATAAAAACAAATATTAAATATCCTCGAAAAAGATGAAGAGTGTACTGTATTGCATTTAATGAAAAAAAAAAAAAACAGTTTGTTGGAAGACACGTTTCGATCATATGAGAGGTGAGAGATTCATGAGCTAATGAGATAAAGAAGGAGAAGTAGACAGACAACATTGATGGGGTGAAGAGATAAGAAAATGATGTCACCGATCTAATCATCGATTCAACCGATCAATCCAAGACCCAATTATCTATCCGAGTCACTGATCGGATCGGTTTTCAAAACATTGTGTTATAATAGAACAACTTAGTGGGAAACAAGGCGTTTTACTCCGTATTCAATGTATAAAAACATTGCTACCTTATAACAGATTTCAGTTAGAAAAAATAGAAGAAATTCACAATTCTTTCTCGTCTTCTCTAGAATTTTTTCTTTGTTTCTTGTTCTTTATTTTTCTTTGGTTAGACAAGAATCTTCACATCCCAACAACAAATAATACAATCATTTTGTTAACTAAAAGCTCGAAGAGTATACCGACCATCTGCCAAACACAGCCTCCTATTCCACTAACCAAATTTATTTCCCATCATCAATGGTTATTAAGATCCATTCAATGTAGATGGCATCTGTTATGTTGATGGTGTTTCAAATATGTTGGCTTTATCGAATAACAATCAGGAAAAATATGTTCTTAAACAATGTAAACAAAATAAACTACAAGAAAGCAAATTGGTTATCGACAGGCTTTATGACCTTTTATATAGACGACAAACATACATTTTAAGAAACAGTTAGCAGCATATCCCGAATTTACGAAAGAAACCAAATACAAAATCAAGCACCAGAGTAAATCCTCAAACGCAAAAAGATGCCAGAAAATGCAGCCGGAAACAGGACAAGCAGCTTTTTTGTATCATTTCACTTCTTTAGCACACTGCAAATAGAGCACATCCATCAAAATAAATTTGCATAGTCAATCAATAATGGCAATGTTGATGATGGCTACGATGATAATAAAGAATTGACTGATCTATGACCAAGAGTTTCAACCCAGACAAGTACAAGACAAAGATCTAAAAATGTAAACTCTAGAGAGCCAATCAACCGTGACAACTCTGAATCATGAAGCATGTAGGCAAATACCCAAAAGGTGTACATTCATCCCAAACATCATAGCTCTATTAAAGATGCCTTCAAGAGGACATCTTGCCCAGACCCTCCAAGTAAAATTCACCAGGTTCTCATAATCGTCATTCCTATCTATTTGATATATATTACTGATTGAGGGGCATTCAAATAATACTAAATGCTGAAAAGAAAAATTCCAATCTCTGCAAAGCATTCCCAGGGTTTTAGTGCCATCTTCCATTTTTCCTCATAAATCAACATGAACAAAAAGTAGAAGCAGAGGGTCGACTCCAATATTTCATCAACTTTCTGACAACTCCTGTGCTAAAACTGCAATGAATGCCAATAAAGATGCCAAATGATCCTAACCAAGGAAGGTCTAGGAGCTTATGAAATGGTGCAAAACAATCATTTTAAAAGTTCAATTCAAGCCAGTGAAAATAAAAACCTTACAGTAGAATTTGATGACACAATGGGATCAACGACTTCACAATGCAATGACAAATGCTCTCTCTCAATACACTAAAGGTTCTATATCTACACCTCACACCTTAATGATTCATCAATCCAGAAATTCTATTCTTCCTATGCTGTAAACCATCTATCTCAACACATGACATGAGGCTGATGCCCCAAATAACACAGCAATTTACATCAATAAGTCACATTCCATCGAAGGGAATACCCAAACCACAATCAGATTAGATATAAAGAAAATGCAGATAACATAACCTAGTGCAGGAAATCGACTAATCCAAAACTAGTCAACTCTTTAAAGCATAAATAACAAGACAGATTGAAGGCTGAAGAGACTAATAGAACCCACACACCAGCTAGTAGTAATATTAATAAAATATAGCAGATTCATATAACAAAGCTTCAATGATAGGACTTAGAATGGTGGCACAAGCAAGTTCTGTTTAACTACCTACTTCATTGATATCATAATCGGTTGTCCTAACCTATAAACAATCTCAGTCCCAAGATTTGGTTGTTCTAAGCTACATAAGACTTTAGGAATTCCTCGTCATGGAGATCTAACTGAATGCTTTTGCCAAATTTGATAGATTACTTGACATGTGGATAGGAGAAAATGATTTATTAAAGTCAACAAAATAGTGACAGACAGCAGACAATGATTTGAGCAATTCTGAAGAGGAAGGAGCTTACTTGTATAAATAGCTGCCAATTCCCAGAATTATGCACAATAAAATTATGTCAATACAGAAATTGCGACTGGACTCAGCTGGAACAGGCCAAAAGCTATGTTAGATCAGCAAAGAAGCGTACATATGGAGACAGCCAAAAACAGATGGAAATCAAAACTTCTTTGAATTGCAGGTCATCACCTGGTTAACAGTGTCTTTAAGTCTAACATTAGTATTCTTAAGATCAGCTGTCGCCCGATCCCTACAAAAATGAATGAAGAACATAAACATACACTGTATATTCCAGAAAGGGCAGAGTTTGAAAGAATAGAAGGATATACAACGTTCTACCTTAGTGTCAATTTCATCCATCAAGGGAACTTGCCTATCCAATTCCTGCACTCCCAACAATAAGTGAACCAAAACATGTGAATATTGCAAATGAGCTGGTAGTTTCATTTAAGCCTGCATACCTCATTCATATCATGGGCGTTTTTCAAAGTATCAAGACCTTGAATCATTTCCAACCCTTGATCCTGAGGAATGTCAAAATAGATCAAATTTACAAACCATGGTTAAAAAGGAAGTACATATAACTTAATTGCATGCTTCCTTCTAATTTAAAAACCATGCCAAAAGAAACGTATGTCAAGATCTGAACTTGCCTGCTTTGTTTTACGCATTTCATACTCTGCCTAAACTGACTAGACTCTTCACTTTGTTGAAAGTATTCATCGTCAAACCGCCCATCTATATAGTAAACAGAATAGATGTAAGACTGTAAGTAGCAGCAATAATAAATATATGATTCCCACACTGATTAGCAGACCCATCATACCTCCACATGAACTTGGCGTCAATTGATATAACACTATAAATGAATTCAAGTTTAAGCAGTTATAATGGCCTATATATATAGTAGAGCTCTTTCCCAAATATTCTCCTTAGCTTTTTCATTTTCATCCCTTTTGGTGAATAAAAGCGATTATCAATGCCTCCAATGAGCAACACACGTGTTCTTATTTACTATCATTTTTTGAATCTAATTGAAATACATTTTCCATATAATCTGTGCTTAATTATTATACGCTAAACACAAGGGTACAAGGCAAAACTAAACAATTAATAAGTAAAAATTAGCCAAAGTTATAATCAATTCAATTTTTAATGCTTAGCAAAACCGAAAAGCAACAGTAACACGTTTTTAGAGTAGTGTTAAGATCTTAACCATTGACTCACAACCCATATAAAAGATTTTCATTCTTCATATTTCCCACGTTGGCTTTGGCTAAATCTAGATTCTAGTATACTTTCCATCCATTCAGCACATAATAAATTAGATAGTACATTAAATGACAAGTGTTTGATTGTATGGGCAGTGAGAAGCATTTTTCTCACAAAGAGGAAAAGTTATTGGAGGGTATATATAGAATAGGTTTTGCATAAGCCTATATAGCTACTCAATACTCAGATTCCAGATCTGTATATGAA